ATAATCACTACAATTAATGTCACTTCTCTCAGGAATAATACCATGAATTCTGTTTTGATTTAATTTAGCTTTTTCATCCATTCTATCTTTCCTTTCATCTTTTAACAGTATGCTCCTTAAATAGATGACACAGCACATCGGTACTAATGAGCCATTAATGTAAAGTAAGATGCTCATAATTAATTTGCTTCTATAAGTCTCCAATAAGAAATCCAACTCTAGTTCCAGGTATTGTTTAGATTTACGTGGCTTTGCAATGCAATTAGCACCATTTCAGCATTAAGATAAACTCATATAACTTTAAATAGACAATAAATTTGTACAATTCTTTTAACTATTGTAGATATCCAACTCCTTCCTCAATTCTCAAAGGAAACTTGCTCCATATTCTGGATACAACTGAGGCCAATATACAGAATCAAATGGTCATCACAATTAAGAGATCTAAGCTGTCTTCTCTACACTTGCTTTCCTTCTTGAAGATAAATATTAGGCAACATAGAGGCTGTCCTGATATTTGCAATATATTATGTTTTGTGGAACAGTCCTAAGACTTTGGGTGAGAAGTCACATGATAGGTGAAGGGTGCTTCTACTTAACAAATCAAGATAATCCTTTTAGACATTGTAATTATCCTAGCTTTCACATAATGACAACATTATGACCAAATAGCGCTGATTGTAGACAATAGTAATATTTCATCTCAATGACACAGATAAAAATTAGATGAGAAAACAGGCAAGAGTCCCCTAGCAGAATGGTCCGAATTGTAGTATTGCATGAAGACTTAAAGATTGTTCCACATTCTTTCAACTCACTTTCTTAAGTTGTCCTAAAACACCGATAATTCAATATTTTCTGTTTTGCATTCTGGATTAATAGAACAAAATCTATGCGCCAACCAAGCTGGGTTTATACCATGTGATCCATGGGATATGCAAAGTGTCTTGAGAAGCAAATAGGCTTGGATCTGTCAACAGAGGAGAATAAACTGTGTCCGTCACCAGACAGTGGAACCTATGGCCCTAAGGCATTAATATATGAATGAAGACGACAGAACCGGAACCTCCTGTAGTAGAAACTCAGACTTGAAAGAAGTCACAAAAGCATCTTTCTGTCATGCATTGTCATGACAAATAAATTTCATTTGATCAAATGATGCATGGCATTTACTACCCTGAGCACAAGCCAGTTCTCCAACGAAGAATTTCTGACTCAGGAACTGGTAATGAACAGAATCCAGAGATGTGGAGGACAACACTAAAATTCTACTGGAACAATGGTATGAATACGGTTGAAGACTAATTCCTAATGTAGATTTAATTGATTCTGCTGCACTCCAAAATTAATGAGACCTTGAGGGAAATTCTAAAAGCAGAATAGTATCTTGGTGCAGGTACCAAAAGTTAAAGCTCTCTGTTACCAATACAATTGATTAAATTGGAAGCTTTTTAAAAGAAATGACTAAGATTTAATTTTGTCTAAGAATATCGCCTTTAAGCAACTAGTCATTTTGAAATTATTTGGAGATGAATAACAGACCTGAGCACCTAACTGAGACTGTAGATTGTTCAAATGTGGAACTGATTTCAGTTGCATGATTTACATCTGTATGACACATGATACTTGTAGGCTCTTTATTGCCTTAGGAATTATAAGATACATTTTTGATTTCTCTACCTGTGATTCCTAGAATGAATGCTAAAACAGAGGAAAAATATCAAAAGTCCTGGCAAGCAACATATGGAAACTGCCTACTGGAGTAGCTTGCAAGCAAGCTCATCTCCATCACAAATAAAAATGATATCTATAGCATCCAACTGCAAACTTTTCATGGTGAAATTATCAATGCCTGGTTCTGCAATGTGTTTTCTCCACTCCAGAGAAATGCTGAACTGTGAAAGTCACTTGCAGAGTTGATTCGATTGCTACACAATAGGCTCCTAATGATGAACAAAAAAATTTGCTGCTGTTATCCAACCACAGGCTTGTCAATGGCACAAGTAAGATTTTGGTTTGCAAAACAGAGAAAAGATCTTAACTTCTTTTGCAGTAACCACTTCAGAACTAACAAATTTGAATCCAAATGTAACAAACATTTTCCTGTCCTAATTAATAGCAGTCTGTCAAAATGGTACATCGTCATTCTTGGCGCACATAGGCAAATTTGTGACTTGTGATTTTGCAGACACATGATTTACTTTATTGATAGTTTCAAAAAAGGTACACAACGGTAGTGTGCATTATTATTCATATTCCAGAAGAATATTGTTCTGTTGACACCACCACAAGTCTACATAAATGTTCTAGTCACCTGTGGCTTTGGTAATCAGTTGTGGTATCACTGGCGAGAAAGAATAGCTGCAGCAATCTCAAAGATTGCTGGCAATAAAATATTTCTGACAAGTGCAGAAGAAATGGAATGGACTGGGTTGGAATCCTGGAATTGGTCTTGACGTTGATAGAGTCATACAGTCAGAACCTTGGGTCCAACCAGTCCACAATGACCACATTCCCAAATCAAACTAGTCCTGCTTGCCTTCGCTTGGCCCATAATATCCTTCCAAACCTTTCCTATTCATGTACTTATCCAAAGGTCTTTTCAACGTTGTAACTATTTCTGCATCCATCACTTCCTCTGGAAGTTCATTTCACACATGAACGACTCTCTGTGTAAAAAAGCTGCTCCTCATGCCATTTTAATTTCCAAGAAGGACCAGGAGCATAGATGTTAAACAGCAGGAGCTTTATTCAGGGAGTGTTCACTCTGCAGTCAGCAGGTTTAGACAAAACAGTTTCCTGCCCAAAATGGCCAATGACATTATTGGTACATCATGTGACTTGATTAAAATGATGGTCCACTATACTTACACAAATACACAACAGTGGACATAATTCTAGGGCTGACTGTTAATGGACATCAATGAATTGATCTCTCTTGCCAATAATGTCTACCCCTGAAAATTTTAACCAACTGAAGAATGGCCGTCCTTAGGTTTACTCTGATAAATTAGTCACTTAGCTATGGATAGACAGAGATGCTACAGCCACGTGCTTGAAATTATACTTAAGCAGGAAGGACAAGAAAGCAATTAAATAACTCTGGCTACCATTATGAAGTTGAAAGGAATGGTTGGAATTCTAATGTGGTGAAATAATTCCACAGAGGCCAGTATCCAATCCTCAAGTCACCTTTTATTTACACATGCATAGTACTTGACACTGGTCCGGCTTCCTCAGAGACAGCTTTCAGGGCGAACAGAACCTCTGACTCTCCTGTTTATATCTGTCAGCCAGGACTCCCTGACTGGACCAGATTAACAGCCCCAATCAGGGAACTCATATTCAATGATGTCAACCTGGCTCACCTTGTTACAATTACTACATCAGGAGTTTGTCATCAGTGCTGGAGTATATGTGATTCGAACCTTTAGAAATCCAATACAATCAGCTGCTTTCCTGGACGCGATTCAAAAACATCTATCACAATATGAAACTCTGGTTAGACCTCGGTGGCAATATTTGAGTTCAACTCTGTGACTGCGCTTTACGAAGGGAGTCAAAACCTCAGAGGATGCAGAAGAAAATCACAAGAATGGTCCTGGAGGTGAGGGATTTCAGTTATGAAGAATCTGGGGCTGCTTACCTTACAACAGAGAAAGATAAGAAGGTTTTGTGGAGTTGTTAAAATCTTGAATGGTTTAGATACAATAAATAAACTATTTCCAATGGCAGAAAGGTCTACAACCAGAGTCAAAGCGTTTGACAAATAAAAACCAACACACAAACATATTTTGATGCAGTGAGCTGTTGTGATTTGGAATTCAGGCCTGGAAGTGTGTTGAAGCAGATTCAATAGCAAATTTCAAAAATGAATTGGATTAATAATTGGTTAAATTGGAATACAGGGAGAACTAGCCATTTGGATACAGAACTTGCTCGCCAGTAGAAGACAGAGGGTTGAGGTGGAGGGTTGCTTTTCAGACTGGAGGCCTGTGACCAGCAGTGTGCCAAAGGGATCGGTGCTGGGTCCACTGCTTTCTGTCATTTATATAAATGATTTGGAATGTGAATATACGAGGTCTGGTTAGTCAGTTTGCAGATGACACTCAAATTGGAGGTGTAGTGGACAGTGAAGATGGTTACCTCAAGTACAATGGGATCTTGATCAGATGGACCATTGGACAGAGGAGTGGCAGATGGAGTTTAATTTAGATAAAAGTGAGGTGCTATGTTTGTGAAAGGCAAAATCAGAGCAGGACTTATACATGTAATGGTAAAGTCCTGGGGATTGTTGCTGAACAAAGTGACCTTAGAGTGCAGGTTCATAGTTCCTTGAAGGTGAAGCCCCAGGTAGACAGGGTAGTGAAGGCGGCGTTTGGTATGCTTGCCTTTATTGGTCAGTGCATTGAGTAGAGGCATTGGGAGGTCATGTTGCGGCTGTACAAGACATTGGTCAGGCCACTTTTGGAATACTGCTTTCAATTCTGGTCTCCCTGCTATAGGAAGAATGTTATGAAACTTGAAAGGGTACAGAAAAGATTTACAAGGATGTTGCCAAGGTTGGAGGGTTTCAGCTATAGGAAGAGGCTGAATAGGCTGGGGCTAATTTCCCTGCAGCGTTGGAGGCTAAAGGGTGACCTTGTAGAGGTTTATAAAGTCATGAGGGGCACAGATAGGGTAAAATAGACAAGGTCTTTTCCCCAAAACTAGAGGGCATAGGTTTAAGATCAGAGGGGAAAGATTTAAAAAGGGACCTAAGGGGCAGCTTTTTCACAGAGGGCGGTGCGTGTATGGAATGAGCTGCCACAGCAAGTGGTGAAGGCAGGTACAATTACAACATTTAAAAGGCATCTGAATGGGTACATAAATAGGAAGGGTTTAGAGGAATATGGGACTAGATATATTTTGGATATCTGGTTGGCATGGACAAGTTGGACCGAAGGGTCTGTTCCCGTGCTGTACATCTCTACGACTTGAGAACAGGAATAAACACTAACCTTTGCACTTTTATCAGCAGAAGCAGAAGCAATTCTACTGCCATTGGGCGATGCATCACATGACAGAACTGCTGCTCCCATATGACAACTATAGTCCTTCAACAATTTGCCAGAGTTGTAATCCCATACCTAAATGTTAAAAATTAATTTAGTGCTGATGTAACCTTGAAAGAAAACAAAAGGTTTACAACAAGATTTTGTGTTGCAATGAAAATTAGACAACATTCTGTACCAGATCTACATTAACCAAATTATCACTTTGAGTTTCATGGGAATAATCATAAACATTCTCCATTTACGTTAGCTACCTCAAACTAGATTTATGTGTCAATGTGACTCAACAATAAAGTTTCACGTGTCCCAAATCAGCATCTCCAAATGAATAGTTTGTATGTAACCGTTATTGCAATTCTATACACAAACATTGTGCCATTTTGTTAACTTGTGAAAAGGTCACAAGCAACAGATGATTAGTTAGTTTATTTCAAGCATCTTCATAAATAAGGTTCAGATGATAAAGGCCATAAGTCAATCTCATTGAGAATTTGAAACTTCATATTATTTATAATATGTGGTTGAAGGTGTGGGGGTAGTTAGTTAGCTCAGTTGGCTGGACAGTTGCACTGTAACACAGAGTGTCTCCAACAGCATGCGTTCAATTCCTGCACCGGCTGAGGTTCCCATGAAGGACTCTCCTTCTCAAACTTTTCCCTCACCCGAGGCGTGGTGACTCTCAGGTTAAACCATCATCAATCTGAGAGAGCAGCTTATGGTCTGGTAAGACAATGATGACTTTAACTTTATTATATAGTCTGTTCAGTTCTTAGTTTCACTGTATCAAGCATATATACCCCTATAAAAACCAAAAGAACTGCGGATGCTGTAAATCAGGAACAAAAGCAAAGTTGCTGGAAAAGCTCAGCAGGTCTGGCAGCATCTGTGAAGGAGAAAACAGAGTTAACGTTTCGGGTCCGGTGACCCTTCCTCATTCTGAGTGCACACATGTTCAGTTAAAGGCAGAACTCAGAAAGTTCCTGTCCATGTTGCCTTGCTCCTCCATTTGCCATTCTACACCAGTAAGTTGCTTGGAGATAATCAGCATTCACATAAAAGGAAGAGAGTGAAGTTATAGCACTTATGTAATAGATATCCAATAAACTCAGCAGGCAAGTTACAGGTTGTTGAGACAAGTACATGTGAATTTTGAAGTGGTTTAAATTTTCACTATCGTCAAACTCTCCAACACTGAAAATTAACTTTTACAAATGTAGAGTCTTATTGCTTCAGATTTATGTCTTCTTTAAATGTTTTAAATTTAAATTTAAACATTTTATATTTTAATTTTTCTTAATCTTCTCTCTCTTGATTTAACTTTCTGTTCCCGACTTGACATTGAATTAAATATTCTAAATTGTGCCTCCTAGTTTAAACTCTTAATCTTACTATATCTCAGTGAGATTTCTTGAATCTGATGAATTAAGGAGACACAGTTTATGCAGGTCCCAGATTCCCTCTGGATGGCTTTCTATTGCAACTTTCTATAAGAACATAAGAACATAAGAACTAGGAGCAGGAGTAGGCCGTCTGGACCTTCGAGCCTGCTCCGCCATTCAATAAGATCATGGCTGATCTTTTCTTGGACTCAGATCCACTTACCCGCGTTCTCACCGTAACCCTTAATTCCTTTATTGTTCAAAAAAAATCTACGTTTTCTTTAAAAACGTTTACTGTAGTAGCATCAACTACTTCACTGGGCAAGGAATTCCATAGATTAACAACCCTCTGGGTGAAGAAGTTCCTTCTCAATTCAGTCCTAAATCTGCTCCCTCTAATCTTGAGGCTATGCCCTCTTGTCCTAGCTTCACCTGCCAGTGGAAACATCCTCTCTACTTCTATCTTATCTATTCCCTTCATAATTTTATATGTTTCTATAAGATCCCCCCTCAATCTATCTATATATCAATCTATCTATCCCCCCTCTATCTATAGCAAGTTGCAGTGGCAAAGTCTATGGAAATTTTATACATGTAACAAATATCTGGAATTGTTAATCGCCACTGACCACAAAATCCACGCCAATCTATAGGTGACATATTCTTCAAACTTAGTGGGTGCCAATCAAAATTCCGATGATTCCAATACTGGGGACAAGAATACAGGCATACAAAAACCTTCACATTTTACTGTGGCTTTCTTCAATCATATTCAGTGTTTTCAAGTAGCACAGTTCACAAATGTAATACTTCCATGCCTGCTCTCTGAAATATGGAAATCATGATGACCCAATTGAAATTCTGAACACCTCTCAATTTGTTAGAAGTTTTAAATGTCAATTTACTGAAGTTAAGCATTTTTCAAATGAATATTTCAGCATGCATGGAGTATTTATTTCACACTATATCAGTAATTGCTTACAAAAGCCTCAAGGTTCACTGACAACATTCAGTATTGCATGTTTTTTGAGCTATGTTTTACTAGGTGCTGAATAAATTTGGTTTCCTGTCTACTTTATTTCAACAATGCATAAAGTTATTTAATCTCGTATATTTGCAAAGGAGTTTGTAATTATAGTTTAATTACTTTAAAAATCATTATATTAATCAACAAAGCTGCTGAGGTTTTTAATAGAGATAACAAGGTGTAGAGCTGGATGAACACAGCAGGCCAAGCAGCATCAGAGGAGCAGGAAGGCTGACGTTTCGGGCCTAGACCCTTCTTCAGAAATGGGGGCGGGGAAGGGGGTTCTGAAATAAATAGGGAGAGAGGGGGAGGCGGATAGAAGATGGATAAAGGGGAAGATAAGTGGAGAGGAGACAGACAGGTCAAAGAGGCGAGGATGGAGCCAGTAAAGGTGAGTGTAGGTGGGGAGTTAGGGAGGAATAGGTCAGCCCAGGGAGGACGGACAGGTCAAGGAGGCGGAATGAGGTTGGTAGGTAGGAGATGGGGGTGGGGCTTGAGGTGGGAGGAGGGGAGAGGTGGGAGGAGGGGAGAGGTGGGAGGAAGGACAGGTTAGGGAGGCGGGGACGAGCTGGACTGGTTTTGGGATGCAGTAGGGGGAGGGGAGATTTTGAAGCTTGTGAAGTCCACATTGATACCATTGGACTGCAGGGTTCCCAAGTGGAATATACAGCCTACTAGTGTTTCATACTGTGCAAGTTCTGAATAAAATCTTGACCAAAACATCAGAATGGTGTTGTCAGTTAGTTCTTCTCACTAACATGCATTATGCATGCTTTGTATGATCTAGCGTAGAGTCCCTTGTCGATCATGAAATAAGCAGAGGCAATAATTAAAAATGAGAATACTCTTGGTATTAGTTCACCATCACCTTTTGAAGAGCAACTAGAGATGGGCAATAAACATCTGCCCAGCTTGCATTGCCCACTTCCCATGAACAAATTTAAAAAAACTAAACAGGCAGGCCCTTATCCTATTGCAAACACTAGCAATTCACACACCATTTAAATTATAATTTCTGTACAAGAAATTTTATTTCTCTCTCCCTCTTGTTCCTTCAGGCTATACATTAAACAATCTTTACTCAGGTTTTGAGTGCTACTACAAAATTGGCCAAAATGACCTGGATAACTTACTTTCCAGTTCATTAAGCAATGCCTTAAATCATCTGGAAACAGAGTACAAAGATAAAGTCTTGCAATTAAAATGCAGCAATTTTAAGTAGTCATGACATTTTGCTATAAATGACCTATTTTGGTACTATGAGTTACATTCAGAGTCTGCAAATGTGGAGTTCCCAATCTCAGTCGCGTTGTTATAGGTTGACAACAAGTAGAGTTCAACCAAAGGAAAATATTGAAGGAATGCTTGATTTCTTTCATGTGGATCCTCAAAGCACCATAATAAAGAACTGCAGCAAACTGATCTGCCTTTTTCCTTAACCAGAGTTACAGAAAGGGATCAGAAAAACTAATATGGAAAGGAATAAAAGGAAGTTTCTGTTACCTTCAAAAACTGTTCAGCCATCAGTAACAGACTTTACCAAGAGGACAACAAAATTGCTTCTAAGAAATGAAATCAACTGCATGAAATACACTGTGCAAAACATATGTGCACAAAATTATCATGAAGGAGTAATCGCCATGATTTTATACCAATGCTTGGAGCATAAAAGTGGAATCATGAATCTATGTATGGTTTAATAAAACAAAATTCTGGTTAAACCAAGATTCTCAATTGTGAAATACTGTCTGCAGGCACCATTAAGCAGATAAAGGACATAAAATATGGATAACAGTGCATATCACATCCACAGAGAGAAATAAATGGATACTGTTAAATACAGCCTAGGCAAGAGGTTAGGCAAGGAGTGGTTTTTGAAGAGCAAGGCCATGTGAAAAAGATATTATTCATTATGAATTATTGAGTACTATTTAAATTTCTTAGGTAGGAAAACAGCAGCAGAACAAAAAAAGTAAAACTGTTTCCTTTCTCAGTTTGAACAGCTAACCTATAGTAGTGATCCTATTGTGGTACACAAGATGGAGGGGTAGTTTTGATTAAGTGATCATATCACTGGAATGAAATGTTCATGAAGGACTAAAAAAAATCCCAAAAATATCACTAGATGTTTATTAACTGGATTGCGTTAATGATTAGGATATCTATAGTATAAAACAGGAACCAATTCAAGAAACGTTACTGGGACTACAATCAAAATCCATTCTACCCAGATTAACAATGTAAATCATCAAGGTGTCAAAGCAAACTTTACTGGTAAAAAAGGCAGTGTACACAACATACAGAGAAACTGGCATTTAGGAGAATCAAGTGATAAAAGCAAACTAAAAATGTGAAAAAATGTCAGAGAAACTCACAGAAACACTAAAAGGTTATATTTAAATAAATACACACACACAAAAGCTGGCTGATAAAAAACCAACACTGGTCCACTAAAGACGATCAAGTTGGTGTCAAAGAAACAGAATAATTAAATAATAATTTCAATGGTGAGGAACAAGAAGTGGAAAATGGTTCCAGGTAGCTAAGAGGACCTGGACAATACAAAAGACATAGTCACACAATGCTTGATGCTTTTAAAACTGGAAGTAATGCTCCAGACAATGTACATTCATTACTCAAAATAATTGGGGACTAAAATTAATAAGATTGCTACATTTGAGAATGGCTCGAGGACTAGCAGTAGTCAACTGCTTATTCCTTATGAAAGAAATGATGAGACATACCTGAAAAACTATATCAATGAATATTAAACGTCTGCAGTACGATACGTTCACATGCTCCAAAAGCATGGTCACGTGCAAAACATTTAGTGCTAACATTTGCAAAATTCAGGCTGTTTGCTTTGAAAACAAAATAATGCTTCCCAATTCATGACTTTCTCAAATAACAACAGAATTCAGTTTTACAGCATACCACTAATTTCATTAAGAGAACATATCCACTTCACAATTCTTTTGCCGGAACTGCACGGACTCTACCGAGGAACTTGTCAGCTGTTGATTTTTTAATTCTTGGCTATGCTTCAAATCCAAATGATTAGGGCAATCTACCCTTTGAATTCTGGGAGTTTTTGAACTGAGCTCAAAATCATAGGATTAAAGTCCTGTCTCTCTCTCTGCATTCTCTACTGGTGCTACATGAAATAAGTTTGGCAGGGTGCAGTGCATTTGGGTCACCACACAAAACATTTAATATTTTGGTCCAATTGGCATATGCTTAAATACACCTCAACAATGCAAATTATGGAAACATGATAAAAGACGACATTAGAGCAATAACTGATTTTCTTCTGAGCAGTCTTATGCTATACGGTTACAGCAAAAGTAAAGAGTATGGATAAGTTGCATGTAATAATGAAATGTTCAAAGCCAATACTTGGTGACAAACCAGAAAGAACAAAGTTCTCCAGAATGACTGTCAATTTTATACATAAACAAATCAAAATAAGTAGCACAGATAGAAAACTAAATTACTTCTCCCTACAACCATTATAATTTTATGAAAAAAAAACAACATATGTTGGTTTTATATATTTGAAGTCCAATCAAAATTACTTTTTTTTTAAAAACTAGTTATTTCTTACCTTCACAGTCCCATCAAAAGACCAGGACAGAAGTTGTGGTTCTTTCAACAGCTTAAAGTTTTTTACTTGTTCAGCGTGCCCTGCAAGGACTTTGCACTCCTCTGTGCGCCAATTCCATACCTACATTTAAAACATAGATATTAAACATGAAACCTTTCAACATAACTTCATTTCAAGGCATCCAATGTTCTCCACTTAAGTGGGAAAGACAGTCTTCACAGCTATATTTAGACTCTTCCCCAAATCAATTTTTATATTCATGACTACTTTCAAAATGGTTGTTGAGCAACTAAAGTTAATGTCACCATTATGTTAGGGTGCATCCTGATAATCTTTTCCAATTGTATTCTCTCTATTTCTCATCCAATGCTATGTAGTGGTGCACTGTGCAGAGAAAAAAAAATCTTGCTAACTTTTTCCCCACAGCCAATAATAATGAAATCTACTGCTAGGGAATTTCTGTACTTGTGAATCCCTTTTGAAACTGTGTTCTCACCTCAGGGCACCAACTGTCAAACATGGATAATTCATGATCTTAGCTTACTTAAGGCTTGACGAGAACACAAAAAGGTGCTACATAAATGTGATTTGCTTCTTCTTCCTCTATTTGTACCTCAGTAGATTCAGATTACCTTTCCTCATGGAAAAGATCAAATTTTTGACTGTTTTGACCACTTCTATTAAGCGCAGCAATGAAATTATCATCACTTACTGAATTGACACTTGTCAAGATTTTGTAATAGTAATTACAATGAAATCTTTAGTGCTCACTGTCATTTCTCCTCTAAAACTGAGAGTAACTTCTGGAGTCCAAGAGAAAGTGGGAACTGCTGATGCTGGAGTCTGAGATAACAAGGTGTAGAGCTGGATGAACACCGCAGGCCAGGCAGCATCAGAGGAGTGGGAAAGCTAACGTTTCAGGTCTGGACCCTTCTTCAGAAATC